TGGGAGTGCGATTGCGACATGTTAACACATGAAGATGGAAGGATTTTTTTTTCGTCGCTTTATTTTGTGTTCCATACGTGTGTCGATGGAGTTATTGCTCGTATTTGATGGTAAAAACTCGATAGTTTTTTTCGTATGTATCTACGTATAAGATATACCCAGTATAGTTATGGTTTATGTGACTCAAAGCTTTGGGAGATAAAAGCTGTATAATATTCGTATCACAAGCATTGCTGTTTTGTGGCTTTGGAGTGTTTAAAGAAGATTAAGCTTTCACAGGAAAGTTGATAATATCAAAGATCAATGTTCATTATCATGTATAAGCAAAAGCAAAAACTTTTAGTTGACAAAACCTTGTGATGAAAGTTTATTCCAAACTTATTCAAGGCGATTTAATTTTTTAATTATTTGATTCCGATTTTTATCAATTGTTGGAATCCTGTAAGAATAAGAAATGAAAATTCCAATCATCAGTAAAGAAAACATTTGTTCTGATAAAAAATAATTTTATTTAAATCGAATTAATTTTAATTAAATTGAAAAAATTAATTCATTATAAAGAAGCAAATTTTTGTAAAATAGCACCAAATATTTCACTATTGACTTAGTGCCTGAAAAAGAGAAAAAAATTTTACTCACCTTTTCTACCTTAACTAGGTATTTGTTTCTTCTTTTAGGGATGAAAATGCCCTGAAACAAATGAAAAATGTTTTTGTACTCTCCAACGAGAGCATGCAAAATCACCACTCAAAGCTCTTAGGTACAATAGATAAAAAAAAAAATACAATCGTTCCCAACCAGCGATCGTTTTCATCAGTGTAATATTTCGACCAAACAAAAGCCAAGACTCGACGCCCGCTCTCTCGTGAAAAAAACGCGCCCCCCTTGCGTTTCTCTGCTCCTGAGGAAAACTTTTTCAATGCACGTGGGAAAAAGGCCCTCCCGGCTCTCACCCTCGCCCTAACAAACAGGTGCACAGAATCAATTTATTGTCACATTTCGGAAAAAAAGTGTCCCCGTCGGAAATCGTCCCTATACCGTAGGATACAAACGCCCTGTTATCGCGCGCGCGCGCACCAACAACTCACCTGCACAGGCGCGCACTTTGTACGTTGCGGGGTAGTCGTACGGGAGGGTGGAAAGCAGGAGGGGAAGGGAGCGCCCGTTTAATAGAAAACGGGGGAAGGCGAGAGAATCACCTCGGCACCACCGAGGACTTACGGGCCATTCACGACCACCTGCTCGCGGCGGAAGGAAGTCAGTTGTATTAGTTGCGGACGAACGCGATACCGATTTTCCGTGAACCTTGGCGATAATCGCGTAGTCTTGTTCGTTTGGCTGGCGAGAAGACTGGGATAGTTTGGACGATACAAGGAGAGAAGGAGGTACAAGTTGCTCCGCGTGTTCTTTGCAATTACGCATGTTTTTCGTTTTTGCTTGGAATTTTCAAAATTTTCATTCAACGAGGGTTTATTTTTTTTTAAATTTTTTTCATGCGAGTTCATAGCGCACATTTCAATTTATTTGAATTAATTAATCTTCAACTATGACATTTAAAATTTCAGAAAATAATTTACATTTTTATGCGAACACCGTTAAAAATATGAGTGTTTATTTATTTATTTTTCAAATATTTTGTTAATTTAATTTTTGTCTGTTTTTTATAATTTATTTATGGTTGGAGTATATTAGTGGTATGTAATTTATTTTTTCAATTTAAACATATTTGTGTTTAGGGAATAAATCGTATTTAAATTTTTATTGTAAAAATCTTTTTTGGAAAATGGGAATAAGTGTATAAGTAAATAAATAAGTTTAAAAAAATAAATAAATGAGAAAATGAATAAATAATCAAATTAGGACAAATTTTTATTTGCTTAGTTTCAAATACTTACCTTTTTGTTTTTCCATACAATCTCTTCCTGGATAAAACTCTATGTTTTGACAG